GGGGTTGGTGGGGGAGTTGTTTTTGTTTTGTTTTTTCAGCAATTTTTTTCCCAAAAATCTACTCCGGTTCCCATTCAACACACACTGCAATCTTGAACGAGAGGAGGAAAAGATGTTTTGGAAAGCGCCTCAGAGAAACAAGCAAATAGCTTCTTACCTGTTTTCAAAACAATTTTTTAAAATTTGAAATCAAGCGTGGAGTCATCCGGATGTATTAGTCATGCGATAACAAGGACGTCGTCGGAAGGAAGAGGGAGTTGATGAATTAGTGTCAGTTACAGTCCTATTTCACCAAGAAATGGTTACGGAAACATAAGTACTCAAAAAGAGTAAAACGAGCAGACCAGCAAACATCCGTAGGTGGGATTCTAAAACAGATCAGGCGTTGAAGCTGACGTTTTGGCTGGCAAACGTTCTCCGAACATCATGATGACCGTCGGGTGATATTTGATCTATTTATGGTGTGTCGTTTCTGACGAGTGACGATCACCGGAAGTCAATATGATGGGCAATCAGGAGGGCGACCATACAGGCCGCACAAGACGCAAAAGTCATTATCTTAAAGTCCCAAGGGACTTTGCCTCCGAGGAAACGCATCAAAACAGATGCCCACTGAGCCTGTAGCAAAGACCCCGCGGTCGTCTATCCGATCTATTTCGATTTGCGCATCCAAATATCAATTGGAAATGGGGCTGACGGATTCGCTTGGTTTTCTTTTGAAAGGAAGAGTAAATCTTTAAATTCAAATAACGATCAGCAAGGTAAACTGACTATTGGTTCATGATTTCAATTTTAGATACACTTTTAATTTACTTTCTTTTTACACAGTGCAGGCTAATTTTGAGGAACGGCTTTCAACTTAGCATTTATGTCGTATTCGACGTCGAGGGCCTTAAATGTATGTGTAATTATGGGATAGCGCTCCTATCAACACTATGAGGTAATTAAAAATCAGGGAGAACCTCAGTCTCCACACAGCATATTGAGTTTAGAAAAGCCCCCTAAAAATCGGAGCCATATTACCCGTGCCTTTGACGGGTATCATGCAGATACGTGTATAAGGAATTCCTCCCCGCCCCCCCCCCCCCACCCCTTCCCCGACTTCTCCGAAATATTTCCACAACAGCAGCCTGGGTTGTTATACTACAAAATCTAACTTTCTATTTGAAAAAAAGATTCACAATCAATTGCTGTAAATATAAGGGACCCATAGTTATATGGATATGTCAACAACATGGTGTGTAACACTCGGAGGTTTCATTTGCAGCTCTGAGTAAAGCGTGTATAATTTCAAGAGTACGTTTTGCTTTCGTTTCAAACCAGAGAGTACTTTCTGTTTCACTTTGTAAAACAACATGTTATTTTGAAAAATCGCAATGCATATTTCCCTTCTAAAACTATTGGCATCACCCTTACTCACAGAGACGCTTTCATCCCAGTCCGGTAAGTAAATATTTAATCAACAACTGATAAAAAATCAATGCAACAAGACTTGATAGTTTACTACCGAGATTACTTTGGTCATGTTGTAAGTGATTTTCATGAATTACCCTTCATGATGATGATGCTCTTTTCAGCAAGTCAAATCAACAATCTCCACTGGCACCGGACCCACCGTGAACCACTGCAAAAGACTGGCATTTGTAAACCTGGCTCATTGTTTTGTTACATAACTAAAAACCTGCCATAGATTTCTTCCCCAGCCCTGACAGCAGTCCCCGGCCTTGCCATCAACAGACACGCTAACATGCCAGCCAAAGGACTGCAGTAGACCCTAGCCTTGCTATGTGGTGGCTGAAGCAGGGATTTCCTCATGTATTATTGCTGTACCCTATTTATGATCCCCCACTCTCGTCCAGAAGTGAGGGATCAATAATGCCTGTGCGCTCTCTGATCATTGTTCACCTGAAGACAATTTCGTCCGTCTCCATAATTTGTGTTCACCCAGACCAGCCAGAGAACCATTTTTCTTCTCTGTCGATGTTTGCGATACGGGGAGCCTGTTATATGTGCTTGGGTGGGTTTCAGTATTATTTCCTTATTTTAGGCTGGCATCAAAGTCTTTTAGCCTGTAGTCAGTTTACCTTTGGTTAATTTGCAAAACCTTGCCAGTGAAAGAATGAAAAGTTGGAATAAAACCAGCCATACCCCCCTCCCCTTTCTCCTCTCTCTCTCTCTCTCTCTCTCTCTCTCCCCTG